GACAAAGTAACGTAACGAGATATGTTACAAAGGTAATGTCAAGACATGTACGGAACATTACCCGGGACTGGGTGAAGAAAGACAATTTAAACCATCAACATAACTGCAAGATAGGAAAGGGAGGGTCGAAGGGTTTATCCTCTAAGAGGCTCCAGAAACGGCTAGAAAGAATAGATAGGAGAGTTAGTCCGCTAAAGGACTACATGTACAGTGTCCGCTCGATCTGAACGCTAGCTTAAATACGCCCTGGCATGTTATCCGTTTATTTGTCTAATTTCTACCTCTTCCAGCTGCCGCTGAAGCCTGGTAGAGGCTGGAAGGGTTGATCAAAATTACAATTTGCATCATTACCTTCAAGTACGGTTGTGTTGCTTTGGGCGTGTTTGCTACTTGAGCGTTTGTGTGCATGTTTGTAGGACCTGGTATTCGAATGTAGTAGACTGGGAAGAGAGATATACAACCATAGATTGACCTTCAGGTCAAGTTGGTAGTGTTAATGGCCTCTACGCCTCTACGCGAAGTTCACCCACACAGTTACTGGGGCTACAGTCCACCCACTTATATAGGGCTTGTCACAACATTCTCTCAAGCTCAGCCTGCAAGGTTTATGTCCTACATCCGCTGAAAGCACCTCGCACCATCATTTTGGTTGTGTTAAAGAATTCTGAAAAGCCCAACATACCTCCCGATAATCTCCGATTTCTTGTTGTTTTGCGTTGAATGAAGCCATTGTCATCTCCTGGCTTGGGTATAAAATTACACAGTACAGCCCGTCCACACTGATTAATGGAGCAGCGTGTAAGTAATAAACCCACCGCACCAGACAGACATGGAATTACCGTCAGCGACATCCCGAAATCCGAGATAATCAAGCATGAAATAAAAGCATTGGCTTTCGCTTAAGGCCTTATCTTTGTTAAACATGACTAGAGAACAGTTGTTTGCGTTCGCGCTTGGTTTGGTCTCGTAATGCTGCCAGGAAGCCAGGCATTTATTTATAAGGAAAACTCGTAAAGGGCGTCGAGCAACCATTTAATGCCACACGACGTGCATACATAACGCCGCACCTAGTCCACCGTTATTACCTTCAAGGGAGTGAAGATACCGTCAAGCAGTCCGTAAAAGTGGTAAAACTAAGAACTCATAAAGACGTGGTCTGGAATGCGGAAGGAGACTGAGTTTATACCATCTCAAACCTTGATAAGCTTCTTTTTTTGCGGAAATGTACAATATAACATGGTATTAAACGTGCTTCATCTATCTTTAACAGTTACCACAACGACTAAAGATATACTTTACGTGAATATTATCAAACCTCATTTGAAACAGTCCCAAACAGTCCCACATGCTCTATACGCATTTACACTAAGTCTTATGTTTAAGATACATCGTTGCAATAGTCCTGAAAGAACAGCACACATAGAATGCACACTGTAGGGGTAAGAACAATTCCGTTGCCGACATCAATAGTCTTGTGACATTCATCAAAAATGACCTCTCATGTTTGAAACAGTCCCTTGCTATCTGCATGCGCCGCGTGGCCCGAGGCACAATTACGTTGTCGGTGTCGTGACCCCAAACATACGGTACGCACGGAGGTCACGCCGCGGCGGTTCTCAACATTCACTCTCGCCTAGCCGGGAGGGTTTTTACCCGGGCAACGTGGGAGATCTGATGTATGTTTTCAGTCAACCTTCGGGGTACAGGACAAACAACATTGAACCGTCTCCTACAGGAGTCCTCTGCTCATAAAATAACAGCCTCTACCAGGCTTCAGAAGCGGCACACGCAGAAAAGTGTAGAAATTGGCCAAAGTAGACAGATATTAAAGGCATGCAAGAGAAATGCCGCTGCGCACTTTTGATCTTGAAAGGCTGGAGCAATAACAACAGGGGCGAACTAAATAAATAAGTAGATCGTAGGCGTAGAATTTCATGTTAGCATACAGTTATATCTCACTACATCTTTGCAATTAGTCCTGGGGCATGAACTTGCAATAAAGAACTCAACTAATGCACATGTTATTACAAAGGTATGCAGATGAAATCAGATCAAACGAATGTAGGTAAACAACAACATATCATATCATACACATGACTGGCACACCGCCATAGATCATTTACGAATACGAGCAACGTTTGTAAGCAATATTTTATAATGATTGGGCTACGACAATGCAACACTTTAATTCTAAGTTTCCAAGCAATATTGGTAAGAGACAGAATAGGCGTAAAATCAGAAAGGCCCTTAAGGAAGCAATAAGAAGGAAGTGCGCAGACACGCATCGCTTGCCACGGTTGTAATTTCTCGGGGAAACGACCCTCGAATTCATCAAGGTCACCTCAAGATGACTTGAAGGCCTGCCAGCACCTTAAGTATAACATAACGTACCCAGCCCAGACCTGAAACATGACTCGCATTTTCACCTCGCAGCGGAGCGTCTTTCTTCAAAGCCTGTAGATTCAGCGAGAGGTGATTTCAAGCACTCGGCATTGACACACTAAACCACCCACTAGCGGACCATGTCCAAATGGGCACTATAGTGTACACAGTTCAGGGCCGAATGAAGTTTAAACTCCAGTATCCAGTAGAAAGTTGCAATGTGGTTAGTATGGATGGATGATAAATATATGATAAGGAATAGAAAACAATGAATTCATATTCATCTCCAAACAAAGTCACATCATTTATTAGCCCTGAAAATCTATCCACAGCCTAAAAAGTAAGAAAATCCAAGTTCATAGCATTCAGAGTGATCCAGCTGACAATCATACCAACCTACGTCCATGGAAATCTGTTTTCTCGGTGAAGGCCGGTGCTGTAGAGAGTATGAATCATCGTTAGTTCCCGAGTATCACCTACACTAATGGGTTTTGCATTAGTCCGGGATCACGGATATGGCAGCTCTGTATTAAGCGTCATTTCCAGTCAGTATCAGCCCGGTACGTTCCGTCTTTTTAACTTGATTCATTTATCAAAATGGACAGATCCAATTTGCCCGTGTATCACGTATTCCATTTTCCTTGATGGAACATTTCCAGGTACATTTCCCTCACGACGCTAGAGTTGGTTCAATTGGAAGGAGGGGGGCAGAGTCTTTTAGCATGGACAGGTTACTATAATTCTAACTGAGCAACCTAAGCCCGATTTGTCAGATACTTGAAGCTGAAATATAATGTTTTGAGGCGAATCTTACCAATTCTGCAGCCCCCAGCCGTTCAGTATCTTTGTGGTAACACTAGTACTGTACGGATGTTGAACTTGAAAATTGAATAAACGATTAAATACGAGCGCACAAGCAGTTTTCTTGTCTCTCTACAACACACGCCTCAGATCATTACTACAGCCGCCTTTTATGATGTATACTGACTGAGATGTAGTCACAGATTTTACGACGTGCTAAAAACGTGCCCAACTGACGTGCTGTCATCAAAGGCTTTTTGCGCCTAACACAACAGCCTTGTTCCTCCTTCACTTCAGCATCTAACATCTGTACCACGCTGGTGTTAACGCTTTAATGAAATTAGAGGTTCTATAACACCCCGTTCACAGTGAAATTTGTCGATCCGGATCGGCCGCCGATCGGGATCAAAATTATGCAAATGAAGTCAATCCGGATCGGTTTTCGCAGTGTGAACGCTCCAATCGGGATTGATTTTCTCCGATCCCGATCCAAAAGTAATCCACCTCGGGGAGGTAGTTCAAGACACTTGCGGCGGATCGGGATCGGGCGTAAACGCGAGTGTGAACGCGAAGTGGATTGAAATGCCAAGCAGATAGCTTCAATCCCGATCGGCGAAAAGCAGTGTGAACGCACGACCGATCCGGATTCATAAATTTCTGATCCCGATCGGCGGCCGATCCGGATCGACAAATTTCACTGTGAACGGGGCGTAAGTAACGTACAGCTTGAGAAATAACGCTTACTCAGACACGCCATGCGGCTACTAACGCGCACGTTACACTGTACGGCATCTCTCACAGTGACTCTATACCCTGAATCTGTACACTGATTTAACCGTGGTGAAACTAGAGGTTTCATAGAATAGCATATGACCTCAATAAAGCAATTACATGTACTTACGTTTCGTCTTCAGTTAACGCCGTTCAAACGTCCTCTCGGCACGACTGTTAAAGTGTCCGCCTCAGCCGGTAACGCAGGATTGGTAAGATCGATGATTGGCAATGTCTTGAAATGGAAGATGCTGTACGCAATACCGTGCACGGCTAATACAGATACAGTCCAGACTAGTCCGTCCAAGAATCAACAACGTT